TATCATTAACTGTTTTTCATAACTTTGAACTAATAATTATAATAATATTCCATGTTTAACAGGGTTCGCAGGGTGAGACGTTACCGAAGGTAAGAGGGTATATTGATTAATAATATTTATTAATATTTTTACTATCATTAACTCTTTTTCATAACTTTGAACTAATAATTATAATAATATTCCATGTTTAACAGGGTTCGCAGGTGGAGACGTTACCGAAGGTAATATTATTTATAATGATTATATTTATTTAGACACGACGGTACATTGATTAATAATATTTATTAATATTTTTACTATCATTAACTCTTTTTCATAACTTTCAACCAATCAAATGTAATAATATTCCATGTTTAACAGGGTTCGCAAAGTGAGACGTTACCGAAGGTAAGACGATAATTATCTATAAATTATCATTCATTAATGGATTAATATTAATTTATAACCAGTCCGCGATACCGAAGGTAAAATGGAATACTGGTTATTTTTGTCTTATTTCATTGTTTTCACAGAAACGCTCATAAATAATAAAACGCTAAAAATTATATATCTTTTTTTTTTTTAAGAATCCGCAGAATCCGTAAAATCCAAAGAAAGAGGTAAGAGAGAATAATGGATAACAGAATGAATTGTCTTAAAGGAATCGACTGATCGAACTATTTTTTTTTTTAGGAAAGGATGGTTGAGTAGGACAGGAAGGAAAATGTAAGTTGATAGCGTGAAATTAAGTTAAAGCGTGAAAGAAAAAGTGTCTTTGGGCCAAAAGTCTCAAACGAAAAGAATGACTAGAAGTTTTTTAAGTAAGATATTTCGGAAGATATCAATCGTCCATCATCCTCTCTATAAGTGTGTTATACCTTGTTATACCCTGTTGAAACTTGTTTTACTTTCCCGTGACCGATCGTTTTCTAAATTCCAATATGGCGGCTATGACGTCACACGACCGCCATATTGGTTGATATTCACTGACAAATTTTTAGCCGTGTTCATTAAAAACTATAACTCAAAAGACAAAACTATCGTCCAATATGGCGTATTACAGCATTACATTGAGCAGATTGAATTGTATCAATAAATCAACTGCCTATATTTTTTTCTCGTTTGTTAGAAAAGGATGGTTCAGCAAATCCGGAAGAAAAGTGTAAGTTCATACCGTAAAATATTAACGATATTACTTACCATAGCGATATGTTACCGTCGGTATCCGCTACTTGATTCTTAACATTAAAGACTAATACCTATTCCAGAGAATAAATGGCTCTACATGTTATAACAAACAAAAAATTGTATCAATAAACCAACTGCTTGTATTTTTTTTCTCGTTTGTTAGAAAAGGATGGTTCAGCAAATCCGGAAGAAAAATGTAAGTTCATACCGTAAAATATTAACGATATTACTTACCATAGCGATATGTTACCGTATCCGCTACTTGATTCTTAACATTGAAGACAAATACCTATTATTATTATTTATAAGTGGCTTTGCATGTTATAAGAAACAAAAACAAAAAAAAMAACAACAACAACAACCAACAAACAAAAAACAAACAAACAAAAAAAAAAAAAGCAGCCATGATGAATGAAATCAAAGACGAACCGTTTTTTCAAGAATCCAATATGGCGGCTATGACGTCACGTTTCCGCCATGTTGGTTCGTAAGAAATGAAACCAATTTACTTGCTCAATTTCAACAATTATTCAAAAACGAAAAATAAAAGCTACTTGATAATATTATAATACAAATTACTTGTCGTTTTGCAGCAAGGCAACACCTCCCCACAGCATCAAGACAAAATCTGGGCTCACGAGACTTTACAACTCGAAAGTCGTCAAAGTTGAGCGAGTCAAGCGACCTTTGAATGGATTCTTAGGGAAGCTTGGGGTCCCACATTCTGGTGTTGTCGTGACTACCGCTTCAGGTAAGTGATGTTGAACCACTGGGAGACCAATCTGACAAACGTTGCGCTAAAATKTTTAGCTTGCAAAAACTGACGCAGGTCTTTGTAAAAGATTGACGGAAGGTAAACATGACACGAGAAAAAGGGCCGCGTTTGGAGTTGTATATGGGACGAAGCGCTCGAATACTCCAGCTTCGAATTGTTGCTCAGGGTTAACCTCAATTTTATGTAAAATATTCACGTGTTCCAATGAATATTTTGACGCTGAAATGAGGCCAACTCTGAGTAAATGAGTCAAAAAAGGCCAACTAAAAGCTTAATTAAGAAAAAATTGATCGTAGGTAAGAGATATCTTGTTCACAAGGGACCCGGATACGGTAAATCGAGCCAGACAGTTGTCACGGATGCCAAAAACATGAGCAAGAAGTGGAAGGTTGAAAAGTCCAAGAAAGTGACAGGCGCAAGGGTAGGAGATTACGTCAAGACTGGCGGGAAAACGTACCGGGTTTTCACGGACAACTGTAATCAGGCCTCTCAACGAATGTACAACAAGATTAAAGGATAAGAAAAGTTAAGATCGACTGACCACTTTTGATACATCGGTTGATTGGTCAAGCACGAAGAATTTAATCGAGGCTAGAGGGTTGAAGATTGAAATAACATAAGCGGGAAACAAACTCGCGGCCCTCGTTCCATGATCGAACTGGAATTATAAATTTATTTTTTTCGAGGGAGAAAAATGTTCTAAGCACAGGAGAGAACCAACTAGCAACTCTACTCACATATAATGGTGAGTCTAGGGAATCGAACCCAGAGATGAGAGGTGGCACAATATAGCAGCGCACATCCACATGTGCTTTTCGAGATTCAATGTACCCACAGCCTTGACTGGACGTTCTGTGTTTGAATATTGAGTCGATGAATCAAAAGGGGTCAGTCTATGATAAACATGACACTGTTGGATTAGAGACAAGACAAGTGAACTTGTACTTTTTAGGCAGTGGCCCAACCTATGGGCAATAGAAACTAGAGAATAAAGAGCATTGAAAAAACGAGAATTTGTTTGATTTATGGAAATACCTAGCCTCCTTCGCAGCCGTTCTTAGGGTCGTCACGCAACGTTTGCGTGACGACCCAAGAACGGCTGCAAAGGAGGCTAGGAAATACCCGGCCCCTACTGGATAAATAATGATGATTTTTTTATGAATAACATTCATTCATTACCTTGTTGAAAAGCTCAATACTTTATTAGGCAACTGTGAATAGATATAAAATGGGAGCCATGTAGGATGAAATCAAGGACAAATCGTTTTCTAGTTTCCAATATGGCGGCTGTGACGTCGCATGACCGCCATGTTGGTTGATATCAATTCTAAAGGAAATTAATAGTATCCAAAGTTTTTTCAAGGACGCGACAAAAAGAGCGAAATGTTTTGAAATTTTCAAGACGACACATAGGACGACATATAGGATTTTTTAAATAATTTAGGCTATGGTTTGAATAATGTTTTTGGCATTAATTTGTTGTTTTGGGGGGGGGGGGGTATTAATCATTTTATCATATTTGTCTTCAAAGTGTTACACTTCATTGAACGTTCATGGAAAAAATACAAGGCCAAATATCCTACACACAGCTCAGTGCACGGAAAAACAATAGCAACTACTTATGCTAATTCAATATTTGTTTTGGTCCGTTAATTTTTTAAATATATTCATTATACATGTGGCCTAACTGGTTACAAAAGGAAAACATATCTAACTAGATTATAAGGACCTTGGCTCATCTTCGGGAAATGGCTTCCTCGGGTAGTGTGGAAGTTAGAGGAGAATTCCCTAGCGAGGAATATCTCTGCCCGATTTGTTTAGACGAGTTTTGTGAGCCGAAAATATTGCCATGTCTTCATAATCTTTGTCTAAAGTGTGTTGAAGATCTCGCTAAGTCGGGTACAGAGAGCCGGCCTCATCGCTGTCCCTTATGCCGTTCGAACTTTCGTCTTCCCGTCGGTGGGCCAAAGAATTTACCAACTAACACAACGATTATAAAACTATTAAAAGATTCTCCGGCTCAAAAAGCTAAAGCAGAGATAGCTACAGCTATTACAGACTGCAAAGCAAGGTTGGAGGCGATAAATGATTTATCTCGAAGAATAAAGAAGGCTTTAATCCATGAGGGAAATAAAATAAAGCAAGTTATCCACGAAACTGCAGAAAATATCATCGAGGTTATCAAAAGTCAAGAAAGCCAGCTCTTCCAAGAAGTGGATGAATTGGTTGAAAGAGAAGCATCTGTCCATCCATCCAAGGTCTTAATACGACGAACAGAAACTTTGGTAAATAACATCGATGATGTTATAAAACAGAATGAATTAAGAATATTACTAAACGACAAAAAAAGTTTTCTAAATCATCTAGACGAAGCTAAATCTGCGGCAACTAGATTGCAACAAGTTTACCAAGGATTAGATTTAAGGACATCGACATTGGAGTTTAGAAAAAATCGGGATTTTTCACAATGCTTGAGTAGATCTTCATTCGGGCATGTAAATCGTAGGAACAAAACAAAGAGCTCTAAAATGCAAGGCATAGAAAAAGGCTTATCTGCTGGTTTGGATATAATCAAGCCTGGGACTCGCTTTAGAAGTTTAGGTGTACCCGAGGCAATGGAAAAGAAATTTCACCCCTTCGCAATAGCAGCCAGTACACAAGGAAATATTGCCGTTTCTGACCAAGGTTCGCATTCTGTGTTGCTGTATAAAGACAATGGAGAATTCTTAACACAAGTTGGAATAACAAGAGGGTCTAATGACGGAGAACTTGAATGTCCGACAGGAATATCATTTCTGAGTCCCCACATAATGACTGTTTCTGATGGGTGCTTGTTCGGGAACCCATCGCGTCTACAAGCATTCGATACATCCGGGAGGTTCGTCCGTTGCCTTGCAAGATTATCCAAGAACACACATTGGTTTACGCACGTATCGACTCTTAAATCCCAGCAAATTGTCATCACATGTCAAAACGTAGCACCAGATTACGAGTCGTATGTTCAAGTCTTCAACACCGATGGAACCGTTTCGTTAGCATTTGGTGCAACAGGGGAGGGAAAACTCCTATACCCTAGCAAAACTGTGTATTTAAATGATGAGTTTTACGTTTCCGACTGCGATAAGTCGTCTAATTGTTGTATGATTAAAGTATTTGACTCCAGAGGTCGCTACGTGAGAAGTTTTGGTGAAAGTATGTTGAAAAGTGACGCAGAGGAACATCGTTGTTTCCCACTTGTTATCGAGTCTGATCCCCATACTGATACGATCCTAGCATACAGTGGTCTGTTTAGGGTGATCCGATGCTATAAGCGAGATGGAAGCTTGGTATCGTACTATGGGACTATCTCAGGTATCGCAGACATGGCATTGACTAACGATAGAAGACTGTTTGCCATCTGTGATGGTAGTGGAGAATTCCCTYATAGTGTACAAATTCTATTCCATACGTAAGAACTTTAGTCTACTGCTGGACTACTAACCAAAAGGTTTCACGAATGAGAAAGTAAGAAAGAGGAAAAAAATGGAGAGAGAGAAAGCAAAAGAAATTTTGAAAATTATTAAGATTAGGCTATTAAGTGCTACCCTCTTTTAGAATAAGAGAGAGAGTGTGAGAGTATGTAACTGTTCTAATAAGCTTTGGTAAAGAATTTTTTCAAGTATTTCCCGAAATTTTCAGTAAAATTCAAAGAAACTTTTGGAGCTTTGTAATATTTTTTTTCTACATGAATACGGAGCCCGAGGGATCAATGTTTTGTCTTTATATCGCATGGTTTAAGAACATGGACCTTAAAAACTATTCATTGTTCTTTTAATTTCATTTCTAATAATCCATCGATAAAACTTGTTCCTTAACCAATAACACATCCTATAAATTATAACAATATTTTTAACCCTATTCGTATCTCTAGAAGATGCACAAGAAACAGTACCAACGAACACGAAAATGAGGCTAGCAGAATTTGATCAAAACATAGCATCAACTTCATCATAAATTAAATCTAAATCTAATGTTCCTGAAATAAGAATCCTCATTTGAAATCAACTGCAAAGCAGAAAGCAAAAACAAAATTCAATAATACAACAATAAAAATATGATTAAAAATAATAATAATTAGAAAGAAAAAAGAAAAAAATATGTTCAACTATGGACAACTAGCCTCATTTTGGTGTTTCTCTGTACCAGTCTCCTATTCATCTTCCAGATATATGAATACAGTGTGTAATCCACTTAGAGGGGAGGGGTCAGTCATAGACCAGTTACCTTTACAAATCACATGTTTAATTTTTGCTCTGAAGCAGCCAATTAGAGAGTAGCTTCTTGCCCTAGCTCTTAGAGTCTTGCATTGACAATCTGGACAAACTCTGGTTTCAGTGAAGCCCCACCAACGAGAAAGCCATCAATATCTGGTTCAGAAGCCAGTTCATGGCAGTTTTTAGCATTTACAGAACCTGGGGAAATAAAAATATTGGCTTAGGCCTTAGGCAACACAGGAAGTCCATGCCTATTCAAAGTGACATTAAAAACCCAGACATTTCCTAAAATGAAAGTGTCATTTCATTTGCAGACATTTAAACAAAGACAGAGAGTCACAAATTTATATCAGTTGGGAAGGTGAATTGCTACTCTTTCTAAACACATCTATTCTTTATGAAACACTTTATTGCTTGAGTTATTGATTATCATTAGGATGAAGTAAAATCATTAGCAAAATTGAAGTGAATTGAGGTGAAGTGCTACCTTTTCTAAAAACATTATTTAATTTATTTTTTATGAAATATAAATAAATAATAAATTCATTGCTTTAGATATTGATTATTATTTGTGTGAAGAAAAGTTTTATTTATTTATTTATTTAATAACTTTCACCATGATAAATAATAGTAACATAAAAAAGCTAAAAAACATGGTGAGGGACATACAACAGAGCAAGGCTCCAAATTAAATATGCCCTACAATAAAAGAGATATAATGAAATAAAAATATTACAAGATATATCAAATTCATGATATAGAGTGTCAACCACATATCCGTGAAATAGCCCGACCAATAACACCAAAAGACAAAAATTTGGCACTTCATGTCTGAGATCTGAGGATTGCGTGACATACCTCCATAGATGATGCGAATCCCTTCAGCAACAGCTGCTGATACATTCTTTTTGAACCAGTCACGCAACTGTTGATGTACCTCTTGTGCCTGTTGCATCAAATATTAGATTATTAAGAATGAGAATAACCTTTTATCATTTTGCCCTTCCTACCCCAACCTTCAAATTTTTTCAATATCTTGAGACACCATCTGGGCTGATCTAAGTCAGGGCACAGATACTTCACAGATAGAGCCCTGAAACAACCTCTGGGCTGATCTTAGTCTGGGCACAGATAATTCACAGATAGAGCCCTGAAACAACCTCTGGGCTGATCTAAGTCAGGGCACAGATAATTCACAGATCAAACTCAGAAACATGCAAGCACTGGGTTGATAAAAATCAGGCTACAGCTAGCTCACAGATATAACATACTAAGTTTGAATGTGACGTACATGTAGAATCTGGGAATCAAACCCAAGACCCCAGAGACCCCATTTCCATTGCCACCAAGGTCCCACCCACAGAGACTATCAGACTTGGCTATCTTCACCTCATAAAGGTACTAACCTGTTGTGGAGTAGCTGTTTTTCCTGTTCCTATGGCCCAGACAGGTTCATATGCAATAACAACTTTGCTCCAGTCAGAAACCTTGTCTAGTGGAAAACAACATAATACTGGTGAAATATGCTAATCTTGAAATTGTTATATTCTTCAGTGCTTTAGATAATGTCATTTGACTGCAAGGGTAATCAGCATAATACTTTCATATGACTGTACTGGCAAAGTTGATATTGTCACATGACTATTAAATTAGTAATGTTGATACTGCCACATTCACGACTGCACTGGTAATAGCAATACTTTCACGTGACTGTACATGACTACTGGTAATGTTGATACTGTCACATGACTACCACATGTTTGAAGTCCTTATGCACAACTCACCTGCAATAGCTTTAATTTGCCTAAACACAACTTCAGTGGTTTTTCCTGTCTCTCTTTCTGACAGCAATTCTCCAATGCAGGCAATGACCTTGACATCATTAGCTAAAACATGGGCTACTTTCTCCCCTATCAGCTGAAAACAAATACAATTTATAATATTATAGCCTTAAAGCTGAATTTTGCATGCTAGACTGATGTCAAATGAGTAGGAACTTGTAGATAAATTGGAACACCGTAAAATGCTTTGTGAAACTGACGTTTCGGACGTTAGTMCTTCGTCGGAGTAAGTGATGATGTCAAATGAGTAAGTTTTGAAATTTAAGCAACACTTTAACATACCAAATCAACCTCAGATCCCAGAACAAAGTGAGAAACAAGCGTAATACTGAGCACTACACCATGACTTTGATTAGGCAAAACAAAAAAATAAGTGTGTTTCCTGTTCCGTGACCAACCTAATTTTCTTGCAGATTTTTGGCACAGGGTTCCCAGTAAGCTCATTTCCACTGTTGTATCAGTAAAAAATCCGACCTACTGACCCCAATTATTTTTCTCATGTAAGGGGAAACACACTTATTTTCTTGTTTGGCCTTAAATAGACCAACTATAAAATGAATGGCATAGCATTTTACCTCATCATTTTCTCCAAAAATGTTTCGTCTCTCAGAATGACCCAGGATCACCCACTCACAGTCCAAATCTTTAACCATTTCTGGACTAAAGTTAGAAACAAGCCAAAGAAGACACAAACTGTAAAATCTGTTTACACTTTACTGCTATTTCCATAAACATGTCAACTCTGTAGTTATGATTTTCTGGCTGGGATCTTGGTCTTACACTGCAGCCAGTCAAATATGAAAGGTGCTGACTGATAAGTTTTGATTGATCGCAGAAAAAAAAACAAATTTCAGTAGCAGCTTGCAGCTAGGCCGCTTGCAAGTTTATAAAAATAGTTGTAAATGGTTAATACAAAGCCATAGTGCTAGCGGCTCTAGGAGAAAGGGATAGAGGGACAAGAAAAACTGGGAGCTAAAAGGGAGCAGGAAATAACAGGGTTGGGGATTGGAGAATGCTCTCTGGTAAATGAGCGAAATTCTCCAGCTTAAACTCCCATTTATATCTAGCTTAGTGATTTATAAAACATTCACTTAGACTCTCTGGCTGGTTCATGATCTTCTTCCAACATTTCAAAACTTTAAGGATGAAACCCGTGGGATTGATTATTTTATAATCTTTCCCCGAGACATAATAAATTGAAATCTCGGTTGATATACGACCAACCTTATTTCCCCCGTAAAAGCACCACTTGCAACCTTATAACAGTTTTGTGCTGCGACACCAATCTCTGGCTTGGCTGAACTTCGAACATAGYTCAGGTAGAGGGATGGAGGGGAGATCACTACCTCTGAAGAGAAAATCAGTAATATATTAACTGCAAACTACAAAAATGAAAAGAAATTTTAGGATAAAAGTATAAGCTTGAATGATCAAAAGGTAGATTTTTCTAAGAATATACAAGAAATATAAAAGTAGAATTTATAAAACTTATAAGCCTGTTTATCAAAATAATAAGCTTCATATAAGTTTAAAATAATAATTTTAACTGAGCCCGAAGCACAAAATAATTAAACACATAAGCTTTACAAGAGCAGTAAATCATTCATATTTTATATTWAAAAAATCAAATTTTAAATTAAATTGAATGTGCTAACAAAGAAATATTTCTCGTTGTTTCTGATTTATTTTCAAAACATTTTGTACTTTTAAAAACAGATTTTTGACATTATTTTGAAGATCAATAATTGGATAATTTCAAACCTGTATCAGCAGATAGCGAGTTGTCGTGAAGATTTTTCAGGATTTCATCGATTTTAGCCTTACTGCCATTCATCTTCCAGTTACCACCGACAAAGAATTTCCTACCCATGGTTATATTTTCAAGGTTTTTGGAGGAGATTGGAAAGAAAAGACAAGCAGATAAAAAACTAGTTGCTATCTGCAACAGGAACGTGGAAGGTGGACCAGGTGGACTGGGTTAGAACACACAGGGTTCCCACACTGTCAGATATAACACCGGGATATGAAAAAAAGTACTGTGCTCTTTCTCTCTTCTTTTCTTTCTATCTATCTATCTTTCTTTCTTTCTTTCTTTCTTTCT